CCTTTAGATTAGTAGTTGAGTGTTTTCTGTTTGTGCAACTCAGATCTTTATGTGTCTTCATGTTGTGGTTGTTCTTGTTGTGTGTCATGGTAGTCTATGTCAACGCAGAGAGACCCTATAAGACATAGTGAAACAACCATATAAAGTTTCCTAAATGATAACTTTTATGGCAGCAGATTGCCAGGTTGTTTTCTTCTGTAGAGGAGTAGGTAAGCCTGAACTGCCAATCATTTGGTCAGGCCTTCACCAGTGCACCAATAGGGCTCCTTTTATATGTTTATGTGGTTGTTAGGTGCTGTCGTGTCGACTCTGACTTGTAATGTACAATAGATCAAACCTTGGCCGATCCTGCACCGTCTTCACACTCTCCACTGTGCTCAGCCTATTGCTGCAGTCACTGCATCAATTTATCTTATTAAGGGTCTTCACCTTCCCTGATTCCTCACCTTTCCAAAAGGTTTCTCTATGCAAGCCCACTTATGCCAAGAGAACAAGAAGGTCTGTCCTGGAGAAAGTAAAACTGGGGTGCTCCTTGGAGGCAAGGATGCTGAAGCGCTATCCCACATACTCTGGGCACGTTGTCAGGAAAGGCCAGTTCTTGGACATCATGCTAGGAAGCATGGAGGGTCAACTCAGGAGAGGAAGACCCTCAATGAGATGGATTAACACAGTGACTGTGGCAGGAGGTCAAGTCTGTCAGAGATGGTGAGGTTGGTCCAGGATAGGCGAAGGCTCATAGGGTCGCTATTGAGTCATAGTCGACTCAGCAGCATTTAATAACAACAATAATATCCTTTTAAGAACAAAGTAGGAGACTAGTACATACATGGGAAATCAAATAGTAATTTGTCTGTTGCTGAGTGATCATGAAATCAGAACAAAGGAAATTGCGTGTATGATTCAAATATTTTATGGCACCGGGTTCTGAGAATGGAATCATCTGTCTGCACTGCTGGCAGTAGACAGGTCACATCTGCGCTCTGTCTACAGACACATTGCAGGTGCTTTCTTTCTGGACTTTCCCTTTTCAGAGTGCCTGCCGCCCAACCACCCCTAACTTTAGAAGTGCCAGTGGAGCCAGAATTCCTGGCCTTCCTACTTCAGGCTGAGAAGGCAATCTATCTTGCAGCTGTCTTTGCATATTATCTCATCTCATCCATTTACAGGATGACAATACAGCATAACTCTCAGAAGCTGAGGAGATGCTCAATCCACTGGGTATTTACAGGGAAGGCAAAAGATCCTTTACTTCCTTTTCACAAAATGTTCTGAGCCAGAATTGTTGCTCAGAGTGGAGGTAGGGTCGGGTGGGGGTAGATCAAGTGTCTTGGTTGTTGTTGGTGGTAGGACATCCCTGAGACCAAGAGGCTTGAAGTGTAAGGTGGGGAATGGGAAACATGAATGTGTGTATGACATGTATATGTAAGTGATTATAGTGAACAATTAGAGTCAATGCCTGGACTAAAATCTTGTTGGCATAAAATATTAGGTTCTCTGGAAAGGATTTCCAAAACAAATGACACTTGAAAATAGGCAAAAGTCCACTTTTTCTGGCTGAAAGCAACTCTTCTTCAAAAAAATTGACAGATCCTAACACTGTCATTATTCCTAGCTGAGCCTTTTAAATGACACCTTTAAGTCAACTCTTTCCAGAATCATAAAAGACAAGGGAGATGGGAGACATTGTGCCCTGTTTAGTTTTTTTAAGGGACTAACAGTTTTGAGTCATACTCACCTGGGACAGCACCTAGCAACTATAACAGCAGTTTCTTCTATTCAACTCCTGCTTCTATTCAACTTCAATGCTTCGTCATGTGATCCTAAGGCTGGATTCAAACTTCTGCAGGTACCACCAAGTAGCAGACGCCATTATTAATTCAGAACTCCAAGTAACTAAAACCCTAAACTCAGTTTTATTCAAGAAAAAAATGTCACCAGCTTCACTGGGACATTTGTGCTTTGCAGAAGACATTGTGTTGTTGTTATTGTTGTTTTATTGGTTTGCTTACAAAGTTCGTATACATTGTGTTTCATGCTATTCTTCATTCATACTCTGTTTCATACAATCATTCCCATGCATTGTTGTTGTTGTTGTTATGTGCCGTCGAGTCGCTTGCAACTCATAGTGACCCTGTGTACAACAGCCCTGAAACCTGCTCTATCCTGTGTCAACTTTATTGTGTCTGACACACCTACTCTCACTACCCAAGTCACTGCTGTATGAATCCATCTCATTGATAGTCTCCCTCTCTTTCTCCGTCCCTCCACCCTTTCAAGCAGGATGTCTCTTTCCAAGCACAGGTCAGTACCTCCTTGAAATATGCCCAAAATATGTCAGTAGAAGCTTCAGAATCCTTGCCTCCAAGGAGTAGCCTGGCTTCACCCTTTCTAGGATGAACTTGTTTGTTTTCCTGCATTGTTTTATAAAATCAATCACCATTGGACTTTGCCCGTCATTACCCTGTCTTTTTTGCCCGGGTCCTTCCCATTTACTAACCCCACTCTTTCCACCTACCAAACTATGTAACTCTGTGGTTTCACCCCACCCATCCTCAGCCCTCCTCCCCTTGAGTGCCCATACATGTTTAGCTAATTATCCTTCTATTTTTTGGATAAGTTTGCTAACGGTGTACACACCTCTTCATTGCTGACAGAGAAGCAAGCATGCAGAGTAAAAGAGAAGAACAATGGTAAACTGGCAAGAGGGATTGGTTCCTGGTGACCCTAGCTGTTACAGACAGCCCTCATAGGCCTTGCTGTCCTGTCTGCCCTTGAATTCTGGAAAATCCCCATCAGTCTTTCCAACAAACCCATTGTCATTTTTAAGATCATTTTGATGGCCCTGGGCATGGTGCTCCATATCCATTAGTCATTGAAATGATTTACTATATTTTGTGAGTTTTAGGAAATACCTTTGCTATTGTTAGATGCTTTCAAGTCACCTATAAATCAGAGTGGCTTTATGAATGAAAAATAGAAACCTTGCCCTATTCTCAACAACCCTTATGATCTCCCCCATGCTCAAGTCCAGTGATGCAGTCACTAAGTCAATCATCTCCTGGAGGGCTTTCCTCTCTTTCTCTGATCCTCTACGTTTCCTAGCATCGTGCCTTTTTCCTAGGATTGGTTCTGTCTGACAACATGGAGCCAGTCCTCACTAAGAAGCCACTAGAGCTCCCTAGTGCCTAGAATAGCAATGATTTCATCCTTTTACAACTTCAAATTGTCCTAGATTCATATTTCAAATATTCTGTGTTCTGCTTATTAATGGATATTTGTACCTGTTCTCATTTTGAGTGGTGTCATGTTGGTAAATGTAGCCTGTTCATTTACTGAGAACTTAACTTCAACTATATCATTAAGGTCAATTCTACTATGAGGCCATGGTTTTCTCAGTTACATGTTATACTTCAGAAAATTGGACAATGACTAAGGATGATAGAAGAATAGATGCTTTCAAGTTGTGGTGCTGGAGAAGAGTCTTGGACATATCAAGGAGTGCCAAGAAAGCAAATAGGTCTGCCTTGGAGAGGGTTAAACCAAGTCTCTCCTTGGAGGCTAGGATTTTGAAGCTCCACCTCACTTACCTTGGACACGTAGCCAGGAGAAATGGTCCTTATAGAAGGACATTATGCTCAGAAGGGTAGACGGACAGCTCAGGAGAGGGAGACCCCAGAGGAGATGGATTGCTACAGTAACTGGGGTGATGGGGTTGGTGTGTCAGAATTAGTGAGACTGTCTCAGAACAGGGAAGGGTTCAGAGCTGTTATATCATTATACATCACAGGCGACTCAACCAATAACATTCTATGACAGGTTTGGAAGCAGGAGTGGCATCCATTTCCAACTTGCCTCCGGAAACTCGATGACCTTTGATAAATGTCGATATTTGAAGAGGGGCTTCAAGCCTTTTGTTCATAGGGTCGCTATGAGCCGTGCTTAACTCAAAGGCAATCAGCAACAACAACAATTACTTTGAGGAAGCAGCTCTTCCCCAATTGCATTTTGAGTGTCTTCCAGCCTGACTGGCTTCTCTTCCAGATCATTGCAGACGTATCAGATGATGATCCACGATGATTCATAAGGTTTTCCGTTATTTCAGAAGTAGACCACCGATCCTTTTCTTAATCTGTTTTAGCCTGGAAGATCTGCTGAAAACTGTGCACCTTGGGGGACCCTGTTGATTTTGAAATACCAGCTCCCAGAATCACAACGCTACACAAGTCACCCCAGTCATATGACAATCTAACACAAAGAGTGGAATAAAAAAAAATATTTTTTTAAGTCTAGAGAAAATATTTTTGCTTTAACACAATATAGACTATAACAGCAAGCCAAAGAATCATTTGAGAATATCTGTAGAGAGAAGAAAAGATTATTTTAGGTTATAAATCTGAATTCTGTCACTGGTCATGAATTATTAAGGGGATTTCAAAACAGATAAAAATGGTTTACTTATCTTACTTATACAGGAATAACAAATGCCACTATCTTCTCTTAAGGCATCTGAGATAGGAAAATCAGCCATGCAGAGTAATTAAATTCTCATTTTATGGATCAGGAAATAGAACCTCAGAGAGGTTAGTGTCTTGTTAGGTCACTTGATCCTGAAAGGGTTATTTTAACCCCTGCCTCTACCCTTGGCCTTGGCATCAATGGAAAATAGATATGTATACATCTGGTCAGTTGGTGGGAATTTCTCTAACAGCTTTGGACCCAAGGCCTCAGCACTGATGCAAAGCCTTAGACTACACCTGGTTTCTTCATTGTCAACAACCGTTTCCCTGTAGGATGAAATATCACAGAGTATTTGATTTGAGAGTTTTTCCTTACTGACTTCACTTTATAGGTGCAGAAAGAATTCTCTATTGACATGTTGTAAATTCCCCAAGCCTCATGGAATTCATAGCCTCTAAGCTGTGGGATGCTTCTCTCACGAGCCACTACCCCCTAAGGGTACCCCTAAGGAGAAGCACACTCTTCCCCACACACACCAGGGACTACTTCTTTTTCACAAAGAGAATACTTTCACTTTCATAGACATATTTATGAACTAATTCCTTACTGGAGCCAAACAAAGAGACTCAAAGGGAACTGTCATGTAAAATATGGTGGGCAGACTGCAATTTCCATCCCTGATGGAATATCTATTCAGTTTCTTAACTTGGGGATTCACTCCACCCAATTCCAAGCCCTGCCAGTGGTCTCCCAGTCCTCAGTAAAGGTCAGCAGTAGAATAGCAAGGTGACCTTAAGTTTCTATTTTTTTTAAAGACATGGAACACAATTCCCTCTTGTACTCAAAGTTCCCAAAAGATACACAAGATTGGGCATGGGTGGGAGGACAATTTTTCCCTATAGGCTCTGTGCCATGCGTGCATCAGAAAAGTAAGATATTAGACTCCCACTGGAGGAGGAAATGGATTTTTGCAAATATGGGCAGTCTTTTCCTGAAAATGTACAGCCTTAGGAACCCAATAGGGTCACTATGAATTGGAATTGACTAGATGACAGCAGAGGTAATTTAGTTTTATAATGTCTGGGAAACTGCATTACTAAGTAACGGGGTTCTTTGTGCTCACCCATGGGCAAGTTTAATAACTGGAAGTGCTAGAGAAGGTGTAAATAAAAGTCCAGGAGAGAAACTTGCAGGGCACCACAGAGAAGCTGTCTTGTGGTGTCTTTTCATCTTCTTATTCTATCTCCCAAAATCAGAGAAGCAAATGCAGGGAAGAAAGAAGTGAAAAGGAAGAAATTGTCTTGCTGCTCTCCATACCATTCATTCCAGACATCCAGAGTCATGGGCACAGACTGTGCTCAGTGACAGGAGTAGGGGAAAGAGAATTAAACCTCACTGGAAGTATTAAGACAAGATCTCTGGTGGTCTAGGTGTAAGAAGTGTCCTGTCAACCCAAAGACAAATAGTTTGAATCCAAAGTTGTTCAAAGGAAGAAAGATGGGCAATTTCATCCCATGTAATTTACATTCTAAAAAAAAAAATGGCAAGTTGTGGCTGACACTGAGAAGAATGTGAATCTCAGAGCACTTGATTGTGCTCATGAGGAACCTATACTTTTTTTTTTATGCAACAGCAAGAGGCAAGAGGTTTATTGCGGAGCTCCGGGCCGACACATATCTCTCGCAGGAGACAGAGGAGTCGACCTCGAGCAGACAAAGTTGGCTCTTTTTATACACTTTAGGGGGATACAACTGGGTATCAGCTTCTCATTGGGTGATGAAAGCACAGTTTGAATTCATTGGTTCGGTTTTCGCTCATGGTTTACACAGCATATTTGCACATAGCACATGTGGCAGTCACGTAGCACATGTGGCAGTTAGACAGATCTAAAGTCATCAGCATATTTGCCTAACTTCTGTGGTTAGCCATTAAGTATAGGGTGGTTTCACAAATTCTTAAGCATACAATGAGTTCAAACTCCAGGGCAGTGGAAAAGCACAAGACACATGGGTTATCAGTCGGGAAACAAAGGTACATGGGTTATCAGTCGAGAAACAACATCTGCTTGTTTGTCCTACCCTGTAGTTAGCTATTCTCGAAATACTGTTGCCCTGGGATCAGACTTTTCTTCCTGGAACACTGGGTGTGGGGAGGAACCTATACTTGAACCAGGAGGCTGTTGTGCGAATGGAGCAGGGGAACACTTTATGGTTTGGAATTGGGAAGGGAGGGCATCAGGGATGTATTCTATCTCCATACCTCTTCAATCTATATGCTGAGCAAATTATCCAAGAAGCTGGACTCTATGAAGAGGAGTGTGGTATCAGGATTGGAGGGAGACTCATCAATAACCTGCATTATGCAGATGACACAACCTTGCTTGCTGAAAGTGAGTAGTATTTGAAGCACTTAATGCAGAAGATCAAGGAATGCAGCCTTCAGTATGGATTGTGTCTCAGTATCAAGGAAACAAAGATTCTTACCACTGGACTAACAGGCTGTGTCATGATGGATGGAGAGGAGATTGAAACTGTTAATAGCATCATCTTGCTTGGATCCCTTGGTATGAGCAGTCAGGAAATAAGGAGATGTATTGCAATTGGAAAATCTGCAGCTAGGGACCTTCCCAAATTATTGAGGAGTAGTGATGTCAGTTTGAGGACTAAAGTGCATCTGATTCAGGCCATGGTCATTCGATTACTAGCTATGCACCCGAGACCTGGACAATGAATAAGAATTACAGAAAAAGAATTGATGCCTTTGAGCTGTGGTGCTGGAGAAGAGCACTGAACATTCAATGAATGGCCAAGAAAACGAATAGATATGTTTTGAAGAGGGTGCAGCCAGGGTGTTCTTTGTAGGCAAGAATGATGAAGCTTCGCCTGACATTCTTTGGATATTACTAGGATGTGCTATTCCTTGGAGAAGAACATGATGTTGGGAAGGGTGGAGGGAGGGTTGGTGAAGGTGAGGAAGGCCTTCAACCAGGTGGATTGACAAGGTGACTGCTGCAATGGGCACTTGTGTGTCAGGAAGTGTGAGGATGGAGCAGGATAGGACTGGTTTTGGATCTTTTGTTCATTGAGTTGCTATGAGTCATACTTGATTCAATCACATCTAACCACGACAACAACAATTCACAACCCCTGAAAACTCATTGGAGGGTCAGCTGAGTTAGTTCCTCCATGGCAATGAGTTGAGTTTTTGAAAAGTGTAGGAATAGATCTAAGTTTTAAGAACCTGAATGAAACTATTGCAATAACTGACAGGTAGTGGTGGTGGTGGTGATGGTGATGGTGGTGGTGGTGGTGTTAGGTATCATCAAGTTGAACATGACCCATAGTGACCCTATAAACAGCATATCCTAAACCTATCACAATCTCTGATACACTTGAGCCATTTCTGTCATCACTGTGCCAATCCACCTAGTAGAGGGCATTTCTCTCTTTCACTGTCCCTCCACATTTTCAAGCATGATGGCCCTCCAAGCCTTTCCTAGCAACATGCCCAATGTATGCGAGACAAAGGTTGACCATCTTTGCCTCCAAGGAGCACTCTGTCTGTACTTCTTCAAAACATATATATCTGTTTGTTCTTTATCCATGGAATATTTAGCACTCTTCTCCAACACCACAGCTCAAAGGCATCAATTCTTCTTTTGTCATTGTTTAGCTCTCAGTAGCATAACAAGTGATTGAAAAGACCATGGCCTGAATCAGGCATACCTTAGTCCTAAAAGACCACACGTTGGAGATGTCCCTGGCTGCAGACTTTATGATATATATATATATATATTGCAATATATCTCCTGACTACTGGAATCAAGTGTATTTATTGATTGTTGCTTATCTAAGTATGATGAAGTTGTTGACAATTTCAATTATTTTTCCATCTATCATGATGTTGCCTGTCAGTCAGTGGTTAAAATTTTTGTTTTCTTGATACTGAGATGCAATCTATATTGAAGGCTGCAGTGTTTGATCTTCTTCAGCAAGGTTGTATTTTCTGCATAACATCAGTTATTAAGTTTTCCTCCAATCCTGATGCCACATTCTTCTTCATAGACCCCAGCTTCTCAAATAGTTTTCTCAGCCTATAGGTTGAATAAGTATGGAGAAAGGACACCTTGATACGTTTTTGTTGAGCCATCAAGTCACCTATGACTCATAGCGACTCTATGTACAACAACCCTAAACTCTGCTCTATCCTGTGCCAATCTCATAGTCTCTGGCACACTTATCCCCATTACCCCAGTGACTGAATCCATTTCATCGAGGGTCTTTTTCTCCTGCGCTGTCCCTCCACCCTCCCAAACATGGTGTCCCTCTCCAAGGACAGGCCCCGCCTTGCAACATGTCCAAAGTATGTCAGATGAAACTTCAGAGACACATTGTTGTTGTTGTTATGTGCCATTGAGTCGCTTGCAACTCATAGCGACCCTATGTACAAGAGCTCTATACATTCTTCTATCCTGTGCCAACCTAGCCATCTCAAACACACTTATTCCCACCTCTCTAGTCACAGAATCAATCCATCTTAACAAAGGTCTTCCTCTCCTTCGCCGCCCCTCCACTCTGCCAAACATGATGTCCCTCTCCAAGGACCAGTCCCTCCTTGCAACATACCCAAAATATGTCAGACAAAGCTTCAGAATCCTTGACTCCAGGGAACATTCTGGCTTCACCCTATCCAGGACAAACCTGTTTGTTCTCCTAGCAGTCCATGGTATATTCAACACTCTTCTCCAGCACCACAGCTCAAAGGCATCAATTCTCCTATCTACCCTAGTCACTGTCCAACTCTCTGATGCATAGCACGTAATTGTGAAAACTATAGCCTAGATAAGGCACACCTTAGTCTCCAGTCTGACATTGTTGCTCTTCAGTACTCTTGAGAGGTCCCTCACAGCCAACTTTCCCAATGCAATTCGTCTCTTGATTTCCTGGCTGCTGTTACCAAGAGTGTTGACCATGGAGCTAAGTAAACGAAAACTGTTAACTATCTCAATCTCTTCACTATCCATACTGATGCTGCCAATTGGCCCAGTGGTTAGAATCTTTGTTTTCTTGATGTTGAGCTTCAGTCCATATAGGAGGCTGTAGTCCTTGATCTTCTGCAGCAAGTGCTTCAGGTCCTCCTCAGTTTCAGAGACACATACCTTTCTTAATTTTAAACAGGATATTTTTGTATTTGTCTGAACTCAATGGTAATGCCACTGGTATGCATATTGAGGGAGTCTTTTAGTCTTTTGAAAGTAAAGCAGTGTTCATCCAGATAAATTTGCATTTGGAACTAATACTCAAAACACATTTACTTTTGAAGTTTGATGAAACATTTTTTTACTTCATTATGCTCTAACTTGGAAGCAGGAGTGGCATCTACTTCCTAAATCACATACCTCTGGGAACTCTTATGAACTTGGATAAATTATGATAGTTCTAGAAAGGCTTCAGGTCTTTTGGTCATAGAGTCACTATGAGTCGGATAGGTTTCATATGAACACAGTTAAGTGATCTGGAGTTCCCATTCTTCAATGCCAACTATACTGTGTCGTGATCCACATAGCCAAATGCCTTTGCGTAGTCAATAAAGCATAAATAGACATT